GTTTGTTACTGTACAGATCAGGGGAAGTAACCGCTGCGAGGAGTTTGTACAGATCAGGGAAGTAACCGCTGCGAGGAGTTTTGCGGTTCAGATCGGGAATATCCGTCCAGAGGGGACCTGCCTATTCAATTTGGACGGTAACGAGGTTTGCTTCCCAGGGCGGGTTCCCGAGTGACGGATATTCCTATCTGAATCGCAAACATATGTCAGTTGTTTGTTGTTGTCGTTGTTGTTGTTGTTTTTTTTTTTTTTTTTTTTTTTTTTTGCATATTCTACCATATTTCATGATATTTTAAATTATTTACCATAATAAAAACAATTTTCCATGGGAATTTATGTCTCTTTCTTTCTCTCAGTAGGTTATCACTTATATATAACATTGTATCGGGCTTTATATAGTGTGATAATGGCAAAGCAATAGATCTATATCCTTTTACTACGGAAAACAACACAGTTTTCATTTTTCATGGTTGATATTTTACCATTTTAGAGAAACGTAGCCTACAAAAAATTAGAACATTTTCAATCGTTACTATATATATATATATATATATATTATATAATATATATATATATATATATATATATATATATATATATTATATATATATATATATATATATATATATATATATATATATATATATATATATATATATATCGTATGTCTTTTAACCGATGGCTTGCATGCCACAAAGAAAGCGCAGGACATCGGCACAAAGAACTTACGTTATGTACTTCGGTAACTCTAAGAAAATACATGTCAGTCTCTTCTCTAACCAGTTTAACCTGTCTTACCTGCTAACAGTCTTGATGACGAGCTACCTTATCTAAAATGGATGGTTCTTGGACCCATGAGAACAACGAGAATGGATACTGATGCATGAGCCATTGGTAAAATGAGACGGTTTTAATGAACAGAGGTCTGCAATAGCAGCCATTGTAACAGGTTGCTAAGACCATTTCATTTTTTTTCTTCGGTAACTTTATAATATGCTCTTATTGCGAGTTTGTGCAATATAAGTGAGCAATGTTGAAATATCAATGCTAATTTAACACATTTGTGTACATAACAATCCCGGTATGATTAAATGCATGTATATCGTTACGGTAAATTGCACTGTCATTCCGCCGTATGGAAATGTCATATATACTTCAGGGTCTATCTACACGTACAAGATGTAACTCAATTTTGAACAAGCAATATACATGTATATCATTAACAAGTAACCTGGAGAAGGTGCCAGCATGCATAAAGACTGCACATTAGCAACTTCAGTTACTAAATTGTAACAGTAATCAGATGTTTTATAAATTTCACTTAAATAACATTCCATTTTTTAAATTGGATTTAGTACATAGGAACCTCCGATGCAACTATTTTGCAAATTTAGTGGCGTTCAATGAAAAAGGGACGTTACTCTTAAAAAATAAAATAAATGTGTTAAAATGAAAGAAACTGTTTGTCATCACTTATATAATGATTGCACGATCACATGTGCATTGTATAAAGACGTTCACAATGCTAAGGAACTAAGGCAAAGTGTAATGAATGGGGATTTTGAGGCAACCCTATTAAAAACAACAATGGTGTGTAGTGACACTAATTTCGGATATACCATATTTTTGGAAATATACTTTGATCTGTTGATGAACACATGTAATAAAGAAATCATCTAAAACTACAACTAGATATTTTAAAATTGATTTGAAATGTTGATTTTTTTCATTATACTATGAGGTGTTTCACTTTCAGGCACCTCAACTTCATTTCAGTAGACCAAAAAATGCATGAATGTTGTTAATCTTGATTGATTGACAAAACCTATGTTTAATTTATAAAGCATTTACAGCGTGGTCTGTGTTTGGTGGTTGCCAGGTTTTGTTAGTCTCAACAAGAAATCTTCCTATTTTTTCACCATTTAATCATTTCTCATCATTATACATGTGATATTTTGACCCCCCCCCCCCCCCCCCCCCCCCCCCCCCCCCCCCCCCCCCCCCCCCCCCCCCCCCCCCCCCCCCCCCCCCCCCCCCCCGGGGAGGGGGCGTGGGGTTTTCGGGGGGGCTTTTGGGGGGTTTTGGGTTAAAGCCCAAATTTTACCTTTTAAATTTTCATTTCTTTATAAAATTTTTTTTACAGGTCACAGCTTTTATTTTTGTTTTCAGATAGCAGATCCATTTCAAGTAATTGTTGCTGCAAACAGGGCAGTGCACCTATATAAAACAGACAAAATGACAACAAAGAATGTTCACTCAGAGATCCTTTTCTGCTTATCAGCAACAAAAAATGTAGGAGCATAAGCTGCATTAAATATGGTTTCAAAGCTCAGTTTTTTTGAAATTCATAATTTTGAAGTTGTTAATGTCAGATGGCGTAAATGTATCTTATACTTGTACTTAGGGCATATGACTGGGACAAGCAAGTACGAAGTAGATAAGCGTAGATATCGGTTGTATGTTGCATGTAGATATCTAATTGATAGTTGACAATTCTATCATAAGCATAGTGTAGTGTTTAATAGGAATTTTTTCACCAAGTGTGTTGAAATTAGTCTTTAAATTATACAACATAAATGAGTTTAGAAATTGATAAAACTTGAACATTGTAAACTGTAGTCATTTTGTCCAAATGTAAGTAAAACAACTGCTACTGTGATTCAACCAAGATATCATGATATATCTACAGCAGCAATTCCTACCTCTAGCATCATTGTCTGCACAAGACTTGGTTAAGATTTTATCTTCAGAATTAGTCTTTTGAATTGTATGCCACTGCCAAAGTTCTACAACTTCAACTTAGATTTTGTGTGAGTTATGCTCCATTGTGAACTTAGAAACTTGCTTGTAGCTAGGATTTTGCAGGAACTCTTTCAATAACGTTGGTGATCTAAATCTCTCTACTCTTAAATAAACAGTGTTTTAGGTCACTGACCAAGATTCATTATTCAAGCATTGATATTCCATTGGTTCACTTAAAGTTAACTGAAGTTATATTTTTAGATTTCAGACTCATTTCGCAAGTTTGGCCTAGGTGACGGTGATACATCTGTGTTTGTTGTGGTGTTGAATGATAAAGATGATGCTTCACTGAATCTCATTGACTCAAAAATACAAGGTTCTTGCATTCCACTAGCTGATGTGAAGCAGTTTACTGATGAAAAACTCATTAAAAAGGTAAAAACTGTTAAGAAATTTAATTTTGAATTATTTATAGATTTACAAAATGTAATATAATTATTATCAGAGTTCAAGTAAAAAGATTAAAGGTTTATTGAATGTTTCAGTCACCTTTCAATAGCAATTAATGATTATATATATATATATATATATATATATATATATATATATATATATATATATATATATATATATATATATATATATATATACACAGTGAAATTTGAGAAAACCGGACGCTGAGAAAATCGGAACTCTCTAAATACCGGACAAATAATTCAGTCCCAAATTTTACCTTCTTTAAACTATTGTATTAAACATTGACCTACCGGAATCTGTAAAAACCGAATATCGGACGGTTGAAAGGGGACTACAAAGTCCATTATATAAACAATTACCCTGACAATACCGGACGACGAAGGTGTGAATAACCTTGTGTACTTATCAATTGGTTGTGCCTAATACGCTAACTGAGCGGAAACGGAACAATGATTATCTGATTAGTTAATTATGTCTCTTTTTACAGTTTGATCTATTGTAAGGTATAGATGTTACCGTTTTATATAAATGCCAAAATGCACGAGAAATTGATAAGTTAAAATCAGTATGAATGAAAAGTAGAATATTATTATACTGCATTGCTTTTTGTATATTCATTTCCCAAAATGACAACGCAACGGAAACGACATTTATCAGCGCTAAGTTCTATTCCATGGCCTAAAAGAAATCGACGAGAGCTGTCTATAAGTGACAAATTTAAATTAGTTAAAGACAGTGAAACTTTGCCGAGACCTACTTTAAAAATCTTTATCTGACAAATATGGTTGTCGGGAATTGCGCTCATATGCATGTGCCGTTAAATGACGCCAACGTATGCGTGACGTTAGAGTACGTCACTTCCTATGTTTTGTAGTATAACGTTAGTAGTTTTGAATAGACGTATAAACCAGACACAACGTGTTGTACATTATTATCGTAGTATAATACCCTATCCGATATTGGTGCCGTGACGAAAACATTATGAAGATAGATAAATTGCGATCAGTGAGAGAAGGTCAACGAAGATGTGTAGAAATTCAGCTTGAACGAATTGAACGGGGAAAAGAGAATTCATCAATGATAGAATTTAGCGCAATTCTCGAGGCCATTGTCAGAAAAGCAGAGACGATCAAATCCTTAAACGAAAAGATTTTAGAACTAACGGAAGTAATCGATATCGAGGAGGAGGTAGTAAATAGTGAAGAATATGGATTAACGTTGGAGATAAAGGTGAGAGAACTTCGAGCTTATAGCGAAAACAGAAAAAGCAACACTGAAGAACAACAGAATGCTTATAGCGAACCAACTAACCCGCAAAACCAGAACAAAGACGGAAGTGGTTCCCTGATCGAAAATAATAACGTGAATAATGGTAACAGTTCTTTGCAAAATGTGAGTACTTTTCATTCAAACACGTCGCTTTATCACAGACTGCCGAAATTATCACTGCCTGTCTTTAGTGGTGACATTCTCGAATGGCAAAGTTTTTGGGATGCTTTTGATTCCTCTGTTCATCAAAAACCGAATCTTACAGAAGTACAAAAATTTAATTATTTGAAGACGCAACTAGAAGGCAGTGCGGCTCAAGTTATTCAAGGATTTGCACTTACGCATGCAAATTACATACAAGCAGTCGATTTACTGATTGAGAGGTTCGGACAGACTCATAAAATCATTCATGCGTATATACAGGCGTTACTAAACCTGCCAGCCCCGAGGAATACTCTACACAGTATGAGAAATTATATCGACAAATTAGAAGCTTATATCCGTGGATTGGAGTCCCTAGGCCAAAATCAAAATACATATGGAACGCTTTTAGTACCGGTCATTATAGACAAACTTCCGGCAGAAATTCGCAAGAGTTTAGCACGAGAAAATGGCAGCGATGAGTGGTTATTAGAAACTTTACGAAAAGCGTTATACCGTGAACTGAATATCATGGAGGCCGGGCAGACTACAGATGATTTAACAGTTTATAGAACTACAGCGTCGTTTTTCACGGGCGCGAGACAGAAAACAGGAACCGGAAGTCACGTGACACAGAATTCCGCACGCGAAACGTTTGATGACCAAGAACAGTGCATTTTTTGCAACGAATTTCACAATGCCAAAGACTGTACAAAAGTAACTGATGTGAGAGCTAGAAAAGACGTTATAAGAAACAAACATTTATGTTTTAATTGCTTGAATAATCAACACCAAGTCATTAACTGTCCATCAAACTACAGGTGCTTTAAATGTAGAAGAAAACATCACACTAGTATATGTGAAAGTAATCCAGATCCAAATCTAAATACCGGTGCTAGCGAGTCAACCCAATCTTCAACCGAATATCAACCCACAAATCAAGCACAGACTGCAACTTTACAATCAAGCACAGCACATGAAGCGTTCATAGATTACGACACGTAGAGAACGAGAAGGAGTACAGTTATTATTGAAGTTACAATTTCGCGCACACAAACTATAAACATTTATAAGATGTATGAATTATCAATTGAGTGACACATGTGTTATTTTAAAACAATGACTTTTTATTTAAATGTATTTTAGAAAGGAGTTAGAATCTATATCTAAGATTTGTTGAAATTGACTGGTATTAATTTTAATAATTTATCATTTTGCGGCCCCCAGAATGTCGGGAATTGCGCTCATATGCATGTGCCGTTAAATGACGCCAACGTATGCGTGACGTTAGAGTACGTCACTTCCTATGTTTTGTAGTATAACGTTAGTAGTTTTGAATAGACGTATAAACCAGACACAACGTGTTGTACATTATTATCGTAGTATAATACCCTATCCGACAATGGTATAGGCAATATTTACAATTGGGGCATTATTATAAACCAACAAAGTAAACTATGTTCGTTAAATCATTATCCATTACCCAAATGTAAACATATGCGGGTGTAATCGGACTTTATCGTTATGAGGTAACTGCTGTTCGTTTAAATCCAAAATTTTATTGTATTTATATGCAATAATGGGATAAAAACAATTAAAATATATTGTTTAGTATTTTTATCATTTCTTTATTAAGCAATATACTTACTTATGATCATGAAAATGCAAATATACGTTCAGCATCCTTTGTAAGTTATTGCTCGGTTTATAGGATCCTGAATAGCTGAAGGGGACATTGAGAATACCGGACCGCTGAGAAAACCGGACAAAACCCTCGGTCCGAAAGCCGTCCGGTTTTCTCAACTTTCACTGTATATACATGTATACAAATGTATATGAATGAGAATTCACAAAGATTAATTTTTCACATTCAGGGACTCATCTGGGTTTTTTGAATTGACAAGACTGAAAGCCTTTTTTCAATTAAAATGTTAAAAATTAGTTGTAAAATAAATTTAGAGTCATTCTACATTACTGAATATAATACTAATTCTATTGGACACATTCACAGCTTCAAAACCTGCATATATTGAACTGGCCAGTGCCTGGTCCAGTTAAAGGTTTGGCAGCTATGTACTTGTCCAATAAAATTCAGTATTGTACTCGATCATGAATAATGGCCTCATATTATTAAAATTTATATACACATATAATGTATGCTATTTTGGATTTTCCCATCTTTTTCAGTTATACAAAATTACAGACTCTGAGCTCAGTGTTAGTTCTCTAACCGATGCATTAGTTTCGAAAATTGCTAGTAAAGAATTTGTGACAATCTGACGAGAAATTGCCATGTACAAAATGAATACTTTTTAGTCTGAACTTGAAGATGAACTAAGAAGTGCTAATTGGACAGATATATAGAGAATTACATTGGGTCAACTATGGAATCCGATGCTAAACATAGCTTGATCAGTCAAGTTCCTGAAGTATCATATTTTGAAAGAACATCTGTTGTGTAAATATTCAAAGGGACATTGATAAATGCAATGTGGTTGGATTGTTTTGTTATAGAAATATTTAATGATCTGCAAGATGTTTTAAATAGAATGAAAAAGAGGAGACATAAAACAACTATGCATTTGTGTATGTGATGACCCATTTTTCAGGTGCCACTGCTTCATGAAATGTCACTTGGAATCCTTCATTTTCATCTTAACCTGATAATTCAGTAATTATACCCAGTGATATTTCATTTATATTTTGAAAGAGTTATCAGTCAGATCTTTGCTTCAGTTTTTATGTAACAATGTTTGAAATTTTGCATGAGTTTCAAAGACCAGAACAAATGCACAATATGAACTTCATCGTGTACATAAGTAATTACAAGTTTTACATTGCTTTCGAGTTGTCTTTAAAGTTGCTTGTCTATTTAAGGAGATTACAATTTTACCACATTTTTGTTGTACAATTGGTGCCCGTTCGTGCCTGAAATAATGCACGGAAGGGCACCTGAGGTCTTACTCCACCAGTAAAGCTGGAACGTCGCGATATGACCTATACTGTGTCGATGTGACGTAAAACCCAAAACAAACAAACAATTGTTGTACAATTGTTATAGAAGATAAAAAAAATATCCTGAATATCATTATACAAAGTGAATTGTTTCACATTGAACATATGTAATAAATCTTATATGACAACTTGTTTCTAAGTATTTTTCTTGGTCTTTATGTTGATTTCTATGATCTAGAGAAATCTATTTTTCTTGTGCTATAGTCATGTGCGTTGACATTCCATTGTGTTAAGAAAAATGATTCAACAAGTTCTGACGGAAAATTCTTTTTTCTGCAATGATATTTGTTAAACTAAACTTTTAAGGACATGTGTACCTTATTTCTGCAGCAATGTTTTACTTTTCATCAACTGGTCTATTTCCACTAGTTCTACATCCATAATTTAAAGAATACAATTTTATTTTTCACTTATTTTTTTACTTCCGACTTGCTACTTTTTATTTAGCAACTATACTTAGCTAGTTTTTAATAAATGCAATGTAAAACAAAATGTTTGTTAATATATCGGGAAATGTATATAGATCTAATGGTATCGCTTCATTACACATATATTGAATAGTCCCAGTGCATTTGAAGTTTTTTTATAGAATAACATCACAGTATTTAACAATGTAACATGCAAAAGTACAGATAAATACAGGATGGTAAATAACAGCTATACTTTATGTCCTATGGCATCAATCAAATTTCACTGGTAGAAAAGCACCTTCATGTCTTATTTCAGACAAGAAAAGACACACAAAACAGAACCACCAACTTTCCAAAACTGGCCCCAATAGCTCTATCACATAAAGCACTCAAGAAATCACTAGAAGGATTTGAGCCCAGTCAATCCACGGCTATGCATAGAGTAAATGATTTAAATATAGGTACTATAGAGGCCTTAGACATTCAAGTTTAAAATACAAGAGGGCCATGATGGCCCTGAGGTCGCGCACCTGTATATAGGCCTCCCCCCCCCCTTTTAACCCAAGGGCTTTTATTTGAACAAACTTGGTAGACACCAATAAGATGTTTCATGCTTAACATCTAAGCTCTAGCTCATTGGGTTTTTTAGATTTTTTAAGTTTTTACTATACACATATAGTTAAAAACAATGACACCCCTGGGGCGAGGCCAGTTTTGACCCCAGGGCTTTTATTTGAACAAACTTTGTAGACACTCACTAGAAGATGTTTCATGCTTAACATCTAAACTCTAGCTATTTGGGTTTTTTCAAAGAAGATCTATACACATATAAGGAAAATCAATGACCCCAGGGTGGGTCCAATTTTGACCCCAGGGCTTTTATTTGAACAAACTTTGTAGACACTCTTTAGAAGATGTTTCATGCTTAATATCTAAACTCTAGCTATTTGGGTTTTTTCAAAGAAGATTTTTTAAGTTTTTGCTATACACATATAAAGAAAATCAATAACCCCCGGGGCGGGGCCAATTTTGACCACAGGGCTTTTATTTGAACAAACTTGGTAGACACCCATTAGAACATGTTTCATGCTAAAAATCTAAGCTCTAGCTCTTTGAGTTCTTTAAAAGAAGATTTTTTAAGTTTTTACTATATATATAGAGTCAAAATCAATGACCCCCTGGGGCGGGGCCAGTTTTGACCCCAGTGCTTTTATTTGAACAATCTTGGTAGACACTCATTAGAAGATGTTTCATGCTAAATATCTTAGCTCTAGCTCTTTGGGTTCTTTAAAAGAAGATTTTCAAAGTTTTTACTATATGCATATAGGGAAAATCAATGACCCCCTGGGGCTGGGCCAATTTTGACCCCAGGGCTTTTATTTGAACAAACTTGATAGACACTTACGAGAAGATGTTTCATGCCAATTATCTAAGCTCTAGCTCTTAGGGTTTTTTAAAAGATATTTAAAGTGTTTTCTTTCGGTTGCCATGGCAACCAGAGTTCTGCATGGAATCAAATTCTTTGAACAATTTTTAAAGGTGACCACCAAAGGAACATTCCTGTGAAGTTTGGATGAAATTGGCTTAGTGGTTTATGAGGAGATGTCATTTAAAGTAAAAGTTTACGGACGGACAGACACCGGACGAAAAGCGATCACAAAAGCTCACCCTGTCACTTTGTGACAGGTGAGCTAAAAACTAACAAGACTACCATTTACAATACATAATTTTATTTCAATCATTTGACAGCAGTAGCAAGTGGTATCACATGAATAGAATTCTTTGCTTTCTTATTAGACCACCATCTCCCGAGCCTGTGTTCTTGTCCAACACCTGCAATAAGGTACCGTCCATCACTGGAAAACTGTAAACTGTTTACAAACCCAACCTGTAAGTATATATTGATAATAAAATTAAGAGTCAATGGCAATTCTTAACTCTCATCTTGCAGACTTTGTATAATGGACAAGTCCTGCTTTGAATTTGGAACAGTCCATTGTAAAACTGGAATGGACCAATCAATGTGCAGCCCTAACATGCCAAGGGCAAATCATTAATTGTTGCTACAGATCAAAGGGTACAACTTGCAGCTTTTAACCAGCTGGAACATAAAGTAATTATTACTAGAAGCATCTGCCCCCAGTATAGAGCCAGACCAGTCTGCACATAATGTTCAAAATAACCAGGCTCCATACTGTTTGGGGACCTTTAATTTTCATCCTGATATACCCATAATTGATAATGGACAGTTCCAAATATGATAACTGGTCAAGTCCATTTAAGAAATTTAGCAGATTATGGGTTAACAGTTAAATATTACACAGTTTCTGACAAACTGATATGGCCAACACTCTACTCTGAATTTAATTTCTATTGATGGAAATTTTCCATTTGCACTTGCCACCAACTACTATGAATATCACCAGCTTATCTCAATATCCAATTAATCTCAAAAATAAAGTTCTACCAGTAAAATATTTAAAGTAGATTTAATAGTATAAATTCTATCACCATTCCAAATTTACTTTCAGTAAAAGTTAAAACTAAATAATTACTTAAAAATAACTTACAATAGGTATAGCACAGATAGGCTCCAGTTTTTTGTAATCAGCTGAACATTTCCATAACCTCACACTGCCATCTTTGGATCCTGCTTCATACATGTACAATGTCAATATTTATTTCAATATTGTATACAGAATATATACACAATGTGTGAAACACCACACAATATCTGAGGCTTAATCAAACTTAATCCATTCTTATAAAACAAATATCAGATTGCTATTGCTTACTGCCATGTGTGTTTCTTTGAATCTCAGCTAACATTTTCTACTTTGAACTTGGAACATTATTTTTTGGGGATTTCAAGATATAGTAATACTAAAATAGAGTAAGATATATGAGAGACCTATAAATTCTGTAAAATAATTTTAACCAAATGTTTTAATTTTAATTACATTTACCAATCTTTTTTCACCTTTTCATAGATAGCACACTAAAACTTTCTCCACCTCCAAATATATAAAATTATTTTATTCAGAATTTAGCTTTTTAGCCAATTTACTTAATATCTTAATACTGAAGCAAAACACACAGTATATGACACTTTAAAAAGAGAAAAAAGTATTACCTGAAGCAACAACATCTGAATTGTGAAGTGCTGCCACTGATGTAATCCAGTTCTCCTCTTGACCTTCAACCTTTGACTCATCTGTTGCCTGGCAACCATGGGCATTCTTCAGTGTAAACAATGGCTTCTTTTTCATGGCTCCCCACAAGGACAAAGAACTGAAACCATCAAAACTATTGCTAACAACTTTCGTATTTGACAGAAAATAAAACAACAGCAAGTTGCAGTATTGTAAACAAATTTGTGCCAGGAGTCATACCTATAAATTATTGGTCCAATTAATTCTGATTTACTTTCTTTAAATTAAGTTCTGATGAAAACTTTCAAACATATTCAAGCAATTTTTTATCACTTTGTTTTCAGTCCCTCCAAAGAGCAGAATAGTATGTATGTATCACAGGAAATTAATTTCCTTCTTTCCAAGCATTTCCTTTCAATATATATACTTTTTGATCTTCTGTAATATCTGTTTCGTGTCCAATACCTGTTGGTTTCAATCACTTAATAGTCTCCATCAGGAATAAGGTTGCTGATAATTATCCATCAATTGAGGTATATCATTTTTTTAAATATATAAAATAGGAAAAGTAAATGTCAACATACTTATCATCAGCCCCTGAGATGAAATTTGCTTCATTTATCAAAGCAACACAATCCACTGAACACCTGAAACAAACAAAAATTACATTTTTTGAACAGTTGTGGATTCCCTTCAAGAAGGGTTTCAAGTGCCCCTTCATTACACTAATTCGGACATTCAAGTCTCAGACAATCAAGTGCCTTTTTTTTACATTATTTTTCAGCCATTCATGTTCACCATCCAAAAAATAATTTAATAGTTTCACTTTAACCCGAAGCAGTGAGAGTTAGGTAATTTGAAGTCAGTAAATTTAACCACTAAGCAACAGAGCTCTCTAACAATATACATTATCAGATCTTTATTATACTGTACTTTTGTAATGTTCTCATTAAATAATCATGACATTAATATATACTATATACAAGCCTGATGTCAAATTATGAAGTAATATCTAATTTTCTCCAATAAAGTATGTTTGCTGTGTCCAAAGATTCTTGACTGGCTATATTAATATAGCCTTATTAAAACCCAAAGCCCCTATGCAAACGGCCATTTATATAAAGCCAAAATTAAACTGTCAAAACTCTTTATCACTATAGCTATACATAATGCAAATTAATATAATTTGACACACAATATAAAACATAGGTAATACATACATAGAATGAGCATTGAAGACAAGTTGTGATTCTTCTATAATCTTCCATATTCTGATACTACTGTCACGACCACCCGACGTTATTGCCCGTTCTCGTGATAAACTATCTATTGCAGTGATTTTGTCCTGATGCCCAAACCTAAATTCAAATGTTATATATATACATACAGTCAAACATGTACTCTCTTCTCAAGAGAACATGCATTTTAAAATATTCAAAAGAATTAAAATTTTTAACTGTCAACCTGCTTGAACTAAGTGATTAACCTTTGGGATAGGGCAGTGTGGACAGGCTCTATACTGGCTCAAGTTATTAATATATATTTAAGTGAAATCCCATAAACACTGAATAT